CGACCACATGTGCAGCACATGCACAACGCACGTACCGGTACTGCTGCTTGAGAATGTCATCGTCCGACTTTGTGGGCTTCTGGGGCACGGCGGGCAGCTTCCCTCGTCCATAGTACAACACCTACAAAGATAGAAATAAAAATAATTAAAACAAATAATCAATAATCAATTACAAATAAATGATGGCGGCGTACGTAGTCGTGAATGTAGCGTTGGTGCCGCTCGTAAGCGTTCATGGTGCCTGTGTAGTATAGCCTACGCGACGAAGAGTCTTCAATCGGACCCAGGCTGGCCTTGGGTCGTGGTGGCGGCAAGATGGAAGGGCGGCCGCTGGCACCTGCCGTCCTGCTTTCCCCCTCATCTTCCAGATCTGACGCGAAGCCCGAGGCCGAATTCACGAACAAATCGAACAGGCTGGGCTTCCCTCCATCTCCTCCTGCACTGTCCATGGCGAAAAAGAATTTTATCTCTATTTTGAATATTCCGTAATTGTTCTTTTTTTTTGCGGGTATGTCAGGAATTTTGCCGTTTATTTCAATTCAGGCCAAAGATCGAGATGGACCCAACGTGGCGAGGCCGCGGGGCCGTGGAGGCAGATCGTGAGACCGAGATGAGCGGGTGGAGTGAGGATGAGAAGCTTCGATTCATCTACGAGATGCTGTCGATCATGGGCGAACAGCAACGGCAGGAAGTGGAGGACATCCAGCAGATCAGCGCCACAGTGGCCGAGATTGGTCATCTCATTCCCGCCACCAGCGAGATGATGAATCCCTGTGAGCCTCGCCCTCTTGGCGATTCGAATGGCACAACAGGTACGCAGCTTGTGCGTTCTTGAAATCTGAACGAAGTGTGCCATCCTCAGATCTGTATTGTTCGTGTAGCCGAGGACCAAGATCCAAGGATGGGAGAGGAGGAGCTGGAAGGGACCGAAGCACAACTGCCGCCGCAGCCGGAGCCGCCGAAGAAGTTTGGCTTCGACGCCGCTTTCGCCCAGAGCAAGAAGAAGCGCGAGCGGCGGCAGCGCCTGCGGGCCAACCGCCAGGCCCTGCGCGCCGCGGCCGGCCAAGACGACGACAACATCAGCAACAAGCCTGCTGACGATGGCGAAGACGGCGACGATGACGCTGCC